GGGGGAGTACCACAGGGTTTGGGGGGGGCACCACTGTGTTGGGGAGAGTACCACAGGGTTGGGGAGGGCACCACAGGGTTGAGAGGAGTACCACAGGGTTGGGGGAGTACCACGGTGTTGGGGGGGGGGGGCACCACAGGGTTGGGGAGAGTACCACAGGGTTGGAGGGAGTACCACAGGGTCTGTTGTTCCACTGGGGTGTGTCTTTGTTTTGCAGCATTAACAAGTTACTTGTGTAACTGAACTGTGTAACTTTATTTTTGTATTTGCCTGTTTCTTAATTTCCCTAAATATCCATATATGTTGTCTATTTACTTACATTTCATACTTACCATTTCACACTGTCATTTAATGTATATTTATTTGATAAAATAAAATTTAATTGAAATAATGTTGTTTCGATTTGAATTTATATAGATATTATTTTGATTTGAATATCAATTTTGAATTACAGGCCACCACAAAGAGGCGACTCAATACAAGACCGAGTACGAAAATGCTGTCAAAATGATGGAGCGCCTGAAGTGGAAGATGAGTGAGCTTTACAAAAGTTATAAGAAACAAAAGCTGGATAATCTTCTACTGCAGGAGAAACTGGTCCAAGTAGAGCACAGATTTAGGTAAAAGCCAATGCAACACCATTCGTATTCACAGATAAAGCAAATCTGTACAGTCATATATATTACTAAATAGCAAATACTTAGGTATGTTGTCACCGCCCCTATTTTTTTTTTTTTTTTTCGATTAGGTAACGTCCAATTTTATGGCTGGACGGTTTGCTAATTTTTTTAGTAAACCGCTTGCCTCCCGATTTCACAGTATTTTTACTTTCTCAAAATTTTTTGAAAAAAAGAACTTATTCAAGAAGAGAACACTAAAAAAACATCAGACTTTATTTTTCTATGAGCTAATGAGCAAATGATTACTAGTACGTCCTGTGTTTTGCACTTAATGTTACAATTAACCCCTTAAACCTCTTTTTCCCCATGATGTGTGGTCTGGTATTGGAACATGTATTTCTTTACTGGCAAACACACTGAAATGTCTGTACATGGCGTATTGAAATCATATAATGCTTTTTAATAATAAGATAATGATATCAATTTTACAGAATTTTCATACTCAATCCTTTATTTTTTTACCCAAATAATTAATCTGAAAAATTGAGTGAATTGTGAATAATCACTATTTTAATTATTATCATCATGGCTATTGTCAGCATTTAATCAGTTGATTGATTGATTTATTATTTTCTGTAGAAAATAATTATTTTACTTTATCTTACAGAAACACGAAGTGCAGCTTGTGCCAGAAGGAAATTGACTCTTCAGAAAAGGAGGACAAAATTACAAGTGAGCAGAGTGACACCAGTCCCCAGGAAGAGGCTGGGTCACGGAGAGCAATACTGAAACTGAGGGGACAGAAGAGAACCAGATACAAAGAGGTATACTTATTGCTTTTAAATTGAATTGCCTCAAAGAGACTATGGCTGCATTCAGAACAACAGGCCAACTGATCCATGGATCAAATATGGCCGTCCCACTTGATGGCTTGTTACGCAATCCACACGGAGAATCTATTCAATGTATACTTGTGGATAAGGAATAGATAACAAACTTTTTAGTGTGTCGCCATATTTGGGCCATTGGCTAATTACTCGGCTGTTCTGAATGGGGTCTTTAACGCGGTATTAAGTATGAAACAAATTTCAAGCACCCAAAGAGGAGACAATAAGGCAACAGTGAAGATACTGTGTTGGTAGATATAACTTATTTGCATGTAGCGACGTATGAGTAATTGAAGGATAATAAAAGCAAAGTTGTATATTTGCAAATGAATGTTATGGGCATCATCTTTGATAGCCAAAAGTCTGTCATATTTGTATTAAAGATGCATACAAAGTCAATTTTTTGTCACAAAAACCAACCAAATGCCAGCATATAGTTTCAAGTAGTATAACTAAGAGAATTACCAAAAGGCATTGTTTAATTTTACCCGAAAAAGATGTTTGAACGGATTTTTCTGCTGGAATTCTAAGCTGTATGTCAATGGGGCAGGAAAGTAGGTCACGAAAGTAGGTTAAATTTACAACCAAAAATTTAAAGAAAGGAGCAGTCTAAAGGTCTTTTATGGCTGATTGAGTGATCTATTCAGTTTATCCCTTGGCATGTCGAATTTATTTGAGTCATATAAGAATCTAGTAGAAGTGGTTTATATGTGTTACTCAGAATCCACGCTCCACCGATGCTCGGTTCGTATGTACCTTTAAGTCTCCTGTAATTTTGATAATGACATAATTGGGAATTTTCCATCTTTGCTTAAATTGTCTTTCAGGACCCACAGGTAGATTCCAAAAAGATGAGACCAAGTATCGATGATGAAAGTTCATCCCAAAATGCAACGTGCATCAACCAAAGCCAGAAAAGCCTTGCTACAGCTAAGAAACCAACTTCTCTTGGGGCCACTGTTGGAGACATTTTGACCAAGGATCTCAGAGAGGGAGAAACGCAGTTCTTAAAGACACAAAAAATCTTGGCGCCAGAGACATGTGCTTTTGACCTAATCGATCCCATTGATGAAAGTTTCAATGAACATATTTCAGTTAAAGACATCATACTGAAAGGACCTGAGGAGGATGAAACTCAGAGAAGAAAACCTCAAAAAGTTTTGGCAGTAGAGACTTGGCCAGAAGAGACAATCCCAGAATGCTCCACACTAGAGACATCTCATAACCTTGACCTCTCACATGACCTTGAAAACAGAAAGGTCATTGCCACTGAAACTGAAACAGAGAAGAAAAATTTTGGTGATGAGTTGGGAAACACTCTTGAATCTACTGCTTTGGGCTCAGAAGAGGATGTTCAGATGGTAGCAAAACATAAAAGGGATAGAAGAGGGCAAAAACCAGAACAAAGTAAGTCTTTTCATAGATTGACAGACAGAACAAGTCCTAGTGAGGAAGGTATCCAGACCTTGGTAACAAGGGTTCCAGAAACTGTCAATATTGAAGACCAAGATGGTGATGATGACGTTAAGTCCAATCCAGACAACAGTCAAGATGGTATTGCTAAGGACAATGGCAAGAATTCCACCAAATGCATTTATAATGAGTACACACAGCAGGATGCCACCATTACCAATCATTGCCTTACCAATGAAGAAGACAGATATACCAAGAGCTCTATTACCAGGAAGACAGTTAAACCAATCAACGAGGTCTACGAACAAAAGGAGACACAAAGCCATGGTTACAAAATGAAAAGAAGTGATGGTGATAATCTATTTGATCACAGTGTTGTTAGCCCCCCTTCTCCCCCTCATGCCAGCACCCCTGTGGAACCCCGAATCCACAGAAAACAATATGGCGGACATCCCCAAAATGTCTTTACCTCTTCCCCCATTGGTAACAGCATTGTTGAAGGTGGACTGTTATCAGATTTGGGCATAAATGAAGAAGAAAATGGTTGTAGAGGTGAAGGAAAAGTCAGCAGTGCCAGTGGTCATGGGAACCGTAGCCAAATCAACTGTAACCAAGGCAATCAAAATCAGGAGATATATAACCATGGCAACGAGTTGCTTTCTAAAAGGGATGAACATAATTCCAAAGATAAGAGACAAACTGTGACTGAGAATGAATTGGAGTCTGAAAAGAAATCTGCCAACTCCCAAAGAAAAGCTATGAGACTTGTGCGCCACTGCAGCAGCAATGATGAAATTGACTCAGAAATACCTGCCTCTCCAATATTTGGCAAACAGAACACCACCGATGGTCCAGATGATGTCAAATCTCCAGCTTTGTTTGATGATGATGATGATCATGGTCAAGTGGCTGTGGATCAGCCACATAGGCAATACGGATCACCATTCACTAGAGGCAAAAAACTGTCCCCAGGGATTGAGGGGTATGAAAGCGAAGAGTCACCTCTAATGTTTAAGAATATTGCCAATTTAAAACGTGGTTGGAAACCAGGACAGAAAAAGTCAAAATTGCCTGATGGTGAAAGGACATTGTCTCCACCTGGTGGTAAAACTAGACTTTTCATAGAATCAGGAGTTAGCGCAACTCAGTCCAAGTCTCAACAATNGGGATTGAGGGGTATGAAAGCGAAGAGTCACCTCTAATGTTTAAGAATATTGCCAATTTAAAACGTGGCTGGAAACCAGGACAGAAAAAGTCAAAATTGCCTGATGGTGAAAGGACATTGTCTCCACCTGGTGGTAAAACTAGACTTTTCATAGAATCAGGAGTTAGCGCGCCTCAGTCCAAGTCTCAACAAACTTTAGGGCCGTCTCGCAGATTTGAAGGAATTGATGGAGAAGACGATGAAAGAACTCGACCAAAAGCTCAAGAGCAGAACCAAGAGAAGTTTGTTAAGAGGAGATCAAAGAGACTACAGATGTTAGAAGTACCTTTCAGTGTGTCTCCACCGAGCTCTCCAAACCATATGAGGAAAAATCAGAAAAAAGAAGAACGGAAGCTGCTCCGTCAGTCTACTTTGACCCAGGGCTTCTTCTCACCGAAGAAGATCCCAGTGTCCAGTCTAGCAAATTATAATGGTGGCGTTCTCAAATCTGAAGCTGGTAAATTTGAGGAAGAGGATTTGAAGAAGGCTATCTTGGAATCTCTGGCAGATGCCAAGAAGAATGAAGAAGAGGATGATTTGGACCTAGCATTAAAATTATCACTACAAGAAAGCCACCGTGTTGAAAGCAGTAGCTCTGTACATGTAAACAAAGAAAGCTCTGCAGTGATTTCAAATGTAGGTGGTGATGCTGAGCAAGACAGTCCCTCTGCTGTGATACATAAAGAAGTCGATGAAAATACACCACCAAGGGAACAGTTTAAAAAGCCCAGAACACCCATTGGTAGTCCTTCAGCAAAGCAACAGTGTGCCTCCAAAGCCCATAGCCCAAAAAGTTTAAGAAACCAGAGACACAAAAGTCATGCCACTTTTGACCCCGATGAAACATGCTTGCCTTTTCTCACTCAGAGTCCTTCTGTGCCAATGATTTATCAGAATGAAGGCATGGACTTGAATGGTAGCATAGACCCAAGTGTGCGTCTCTCTGAATACGACATTGAGTCTCAAGATGAAACATTTTGTGATGATCCTCAGCAGGAAATGTCAAGGTCAAGGTCAGGGATGAGTTCAAATATAGCATTGGGGTCAAGGTCACATAATATCACAGATGCAAATGCCAGCTTGGACACAAGTGAAACCCTTCTAAATTGCAATCGAGGGGCTGGTGCAGTTCCTATACCTGATTTAGAGGAAGAATCTCAAGAAATAGACTGTACTCACAGAAGCGTTACTTTTGGCAAAGTTGATAAACATATCAGAAAAGGGGAGGAGTCCCAAATGATATCGAACAGAGAAAAAGATGACATAGAAACACAGCAGCATCAAGATGAAGAACCCAATCTGCAGAGAAACATAAAGAGCAAAGAGATGATCAGTAAAAGAGAGGGGGTTTTCAACAAGGGGAAGTGCCCCAGATACCATAGTGACAATGATGGTGATGTGACATTTAATGCAGCCTTAGACCTAGTGCATTCTGAGATGGATGAAGATTTGATGATGGAGAAAGGTATATTTGATGATAAATCATGGGAATTTGGTTTTTAGGGTCCTTTGGAGCCTAGGTTTTATTGATTTCTGCTTGTTTCAGTATTATGTCTAAAAAGAATCATAGTAGAAATTTGCCAAATGTTTTTTCTTTGGTGTAAGTGTCTATTTTAAAGTGGTCAATGGGGTGTCTAGAACATTTTGTCAGTTAGTACCGTAACACAACTTGTCAAGTCAGGTCCATTTCCAGTTGAAATGGAAACAGTCCTTTTTACACACATCTAAAGATGTAAAGTATTTATATGTTAAAATGTGTACCACTTTTTTCCTATCTTGAAAAGATAAATAATCGAAACGGGATACCCTTCCAGATGTTTCAGATTCACAACCGCAGGATGCCAATTTGCTAGATGACAGCTTTGACAGGTATGTTACCCACCAGATGGCCTTGTGGTTGGCATCTGCCTCCAAAGCAGGAGAACGTAGGTTTGACCCAGAACACAATGTTTCATCCAATCTCCAGATTTATCTTGGGTCAAACTTTCTTTCATAATAGACAATAAAGAATATTGCTATTTTTATAACAATATGCAACATTAAAAGCAAGGATAGTAATCTTTTAAACTAAAGCAGCTGTTTTTAAAGCAATGATGCCATTTTTGAAAACGGTCTTTTTAAAATCTGTATTTGATTAAATTATTGTATATTTTGGTACATTAGTTTAGCCACGTATAGTTTGGTCACCGTCATTGTGAAAATGTACTTGCACCAGAATATCGAGAATGATACAAAACTATTTTTTTTTTCATTTTTCTATGTCAGAGTACCAAAAGCTGAGGGCCCTGCCTATAAATATGTGGATGTGGTGAGGAAGAGGGATGATAGAAGAAAACTAGAGGCCTTTGACTGTCCTGAATGTGAAGAGGTACAAGAATTAAATGGGGGTTGGAGGAAGGAGGGTTAGGGGAGGGGGGGGTAAAGGGGGGTAGGGATTATATTCTTCATATGTACAGGTGCATTTCATTGGAAAAAAATAAATGTAAAGATATCTTTCCATTATGAGATTTACTGGCTTATTGATTTTCACTTGGCATCAGCTATTGCTTTGGTGTAATATTTTACATAAATCAGTTTTTTTTTCAATGTTGCAAAAATCCTACCATTATGGCTGCTTAAATTCAAGTGTGGTTTATTCCCCATTGTTTTGCAGTACTTTAAGGACATGAATCTCACAGCTGAAGAGAAACGGGAACGTGCAAAGCAGTGTTCTCGCCATCGAGCAAAATATGTGCCTCCTAGTACACCGCCCCACTTCTGGGACATTGGTTTCCCTGACACCCAGGAGTGTAAGGAAAGAGGTAAGGCATAGTAATATGTGGAACAAGGTAAGGCAAGTGTAAGGAAAAAGGTAAGGCAAAGGAGTGTAAGGAAAGAGGTAAGGCATAGGAGTGTAAGGAAAGAGGTAAGGCATAGGAGTATAAAGAAAGAGGTAAGATGTAGGAGTGTGTGGAAATAGATAAGACAAGAATGTATGGAAAGAGGTAAGACATAGGAGTTTAAAGAAAGAGGTAAGGCATAGGAGTGTAAGGAAAGAGGTAACAAAAATACAAAGAAAGGGGTAAAACATGCGTAAGTATAAAGAAAGTTGAATAAAGACGAATGAGTGTAAAGAAAATGATAAGACAAAGGACTGTAAGGAGAGTGGTAAGACACCCAGGAAAGAGGTAAGACAGGGAAACTTTTAAGAAATGGGTTTGCTGTATAAGAAATAAGACTCGTCTAAGACAGAGAGAGAGAGAGACAGAGGGAGGTAAATACAGGGTTCCCATTTCACAACCCGGTCTTGAACAGATATCATAGTTGACTTCACAGACAATTTTATAGAAAATATTTTACAGATGTGGCAAAGTCTACTGACTTGGGAATTCCGATGGACTTTCCGGTTTAAGATAAAAACAAACCATTACTTGAAAGCTGGAATGCAGGGATCTAAGAGCGCATTCCCAGAGATTAAGATAGATCCGTCCAGATCGACCTAACTCCCTAGGGGTTCACTCTAAATTGCAGTCAGCCAAGCGCAAACGACAGTTAATTACCCCCTTACAGCTTTTAGTAGGGGGGACAGATGCTTAAGCCAGCTAAGCTGACAGTAATCTAGTGAGACTCCCCACAGGGATAGATCAATCTTAAATCTGTGGGAATGTGGTCTTATAGAAGGTTGTTTGTGTCAAAAGAAAAAGAAACTTATTTTATGAAAAGTAACTTAATAAATATGTATTTATTTGTATGTCTACTTGGTTATGTATTAAGAATTATCATTTAAAGTGGGGGGGGGGATGATACATTCTTGCTGCTTGAATTTATTTATATTTTATAATTACAGTATATTTATTTATTTATATATATTTTCAGGTTACATCCGTGAGGCAACACAGAGGGGTCCCTCAGCCTATAGGAGAAGAAAGCCTTTAAAGCAGATATTTGACAGCTAGGCTCCCATTGGTGGTTGTAAAATGTATTAATTATTTTCATTGGATAAAATGTATCAGTTATTTTCATTGAATGTAGCTAGGCTTACATTTGTGTTCTTAAAATGTATCAATAATTTTCATTGGATGTAGCTTGGCTCCAATTTGTGGTGTAAAAATTATCTGTTATTTTCATTGGATGTTGTAAACTGTGTACAAGGTTATTGGTTAAGATGGAAGGTGTAACCTAGGTTTTATTTGGATGTCAGTAAGAATATAGATACTGGGGATTTTCCAGTATGAGTGTCATAGTAAAAATTTAAAAAATCTAAAACTGAAAATGAGTTAACTTTATAGATCAAAGTATTTTCAACAATTAACTTGGTGATAAAGGGGAATACACTGAAGTTTTTTTGCAATCAGTTGATTGACTGTATTATCAAGTTGGACTGAAATTATAAGCAAATTTTGATTTGATTACCATACGTAATACTTCACTGGGAAGCAGTAAATGTCAATTTCATACCCAAACGGGGTTATTGGTAAACATAATTTGTTGAAATAAAGCTAAATTTTTTCATATTTCCTAATTTTTTCATATATGCTGATTATTTCACACTCAAGGTGTGCTGGTACATATCCTTATTCTGGCTAAAGCATGAGTTCTTAAATATAGAAATGTATATATTAGATTTAATACGAAAATCCTGTATCGGTTTCCTGCAAAGTTACCAAGCAGTTAACTGTAAGAAATGAAAGCAACTTGACTATAGCGTTTGCGACAGTTTTATTTGCATCATGTAAGATGCCCCGATCACTTAAAGAGATAATAACTCTTCCTTTTGGCCAAAAAATGATTTTTCTTGGAGTAAACAACAATTTTCCCATACTTACCAATGGTTCATGAATCCATTTTTACATTCAAAGTTAGTCCCTGTTTTTTTTCTAAAAAGTTTGGTTTTTTGTTAAAATCTCTTGAGAGATTATAACAGAGTACAGCCATCAATGGAAGTCACGTGATCTGAAGACAAGCTCAGATATCAGAATATTAGCTATAACTGCTGTTTTTGTGGTAAAACGGAATGTATTATATTTCTTTGAGTTGTTCACAATGTTTTTATTGTGAAATAAAGATATTATATGAAGAGTTATTATCCCTTTAAATGGCAAAAAACGTACTGGTAACCTTAGGAAGGTAACTACAAACAAAACTATGCCTTATATGAACCTTTAAAAATCTAATTAATATGTCATGAACCACCACGTTAAGCCATCAGGCCAACTTATGATAAAATCAGTTAACCAAACTACCTTTACAATTTTTATTCCCACACCACACTAATATATGAAAGTTAACATCCCATTTGCAATTGCTCTCTAAAAAAACACCCCAAGAGGTTGGAATACATCCCATGTACATATCTGTACATAATAGTACTTTGGTTACAATAGTTCCATAAAGAAAAATGGAATGAGTACATAATGATGTTCAATAAAACCAAGATAGGGATCAGCTGTGTGAAGTTGAGAGGAAAACTGAGCCAGGCCCGTAGCCAGAAAATTCAAAAGGGGGGTTCTTTTTCTGAAAAAGTGGACCTTTTACAATGAAACTGAAGTGTACCTAGATCAAAATTTACCCAAAATGGACCTTTTCCGGACAAAAGGGGCGATTCTTTCGAACCCCCCCTGGCTACGGGCCTGTGAGGTAATGATGTTGTATGACGATAATATTCAAGCAAGCTGCGACAGTTTTTCACCCATGTTTTTTTTATTTTTTTGTTATTTTCAATCACACCACAAACTACTATTCACTGAACGAAATATATATATTCTAAGCAGACCACCATCAAATGATGTTTTGTCAAAGGCCCGTTTTCATTCCAAAGAACCCAATTCCTGTGTTTCTTCTGTAAAAAATAAGGAAGAAAAACAAAAAAAAAATGGCATTTTAGCGTAACAAGGGTAAAATGATAAAAAACGACACAATCATGAAAAAGTGCACCAACAGAAGATATCATAAAGGATGCCAGGAGGAGTAACAAAATCAGCTTTAAACAGGTAAATCATGATGTACATTAAGATACAATGAAAAAAAATGTTTGTTTTATTAGCTGTTTTCCACAGTTAAGAAACGCACTTGTTACTTGCCATATATAGTAATAATTGAAATATCAATATAACTAAAATATAGAATACACACTTACCCACTACCACAAGTGTATCACATTGGTACGGCCCAGGGCACCTGAAAACATTTTATATAAGCCTATGTATACAGAGAAGAATATGATTATGTTTACCACTTAATTTCCGTTTTCTTTTATCATTAGCATTATTTTTGACATTTAATATGTATATATATTTAATCACTACTTGTATATTTTTATATTTTGCACTCTACATTTGTATAATTGTGTTTTATCAACTAATCCATTTTTCTCATGACCAAAACGATACCATTCCTGGCCCCGGTTTCACAAAAAAATCTGAAGTCCGATTCCCTGGCTGAGGACTTAATTACCAAAGTTACATGATCACATTTTACCCTATCAGAAGCAGTGTTACAGCACTCGCATGGAAATCCTAGTCAACTAAGCCAGGGAACTGACTTAAGTATTTTTGTGAAAGTGGGACCTTGTATGAGTCTTGACTTACTTATTAATGTCATAGGCTTGATAGCAAAGCAGGGTATAGCCGAGCTGCTGAGAGGTTGGGGTCCACATCACCGTTACTGTGTAAGAGTTGTTATCTGTAGAAACTATATGATTCACGATGGAACCAACCAGCTGAGTGACGTTGATGGAACGGATTCTACATTGTGAAAATTGGAAAATTGGTGAAATGAACTTTATGTCCAAACTGACTTAATTTGCTCTGGTACATCGTTACAAGAGCGAAAAGAAGAGGTAAGGTTTAGGAGAAATGTAGCTTATCTCATAGCAAAAATTATTTGACAAGTAAGACCTAGGGAAAATTCTAAACAGGTAAAACAAAAGAAACACAGATTTCTAACTACCCTCAATAAGAATGAGAGAAGCTTGCAGAAGGAATATATATATAAGTGTTCAAAATCAAATGGAATAAAACGGCAGCTAGCCCTAGACACTCAAAGAGCCAACAGCCAGAATACGTGGTAAAGGCACTGTAATCACACAACATTCACACAAAATTATACATTTTCAACAAGAAAAAGTTGAGTTTATGTATAGGTTTTTTATAGGGGGGGAGGGGTAATAAAAATGCATATAAGGAGTTAACGCTTGGTATTCGCGTGGTATAACAGTAAGACAAAGTCAAGTGACTTGCTTATAAATAGACATACCCGCCTTCGGAAGTTGCTATTATTTGTTTCTCGTAATTCTTTCCAACAGGTATGACATCCGTCACTGAAGAATTCCTAAATTTTGGGCGGTCTTTGCAAATGCAGCCATCCTTTCTCTGTGCGACATACTGGAATGTCCAAAAAAATCATTTTTAGGGACCAACTGCTCTATAAATGGTGGTTTCAGTTGAACATAGTTGGGAATTCACCCCACCCCACCCACCCTTTAAGCCTCAGCAGTAGCCTTATCTTCATAAAAATGTATTAAACATAAAACGTAAAGGTATACTTGTGTTACATATCACAACTTGTTAAATAATAATAACATACCTTTAAACTGAAATATTCGATATTAAATTCCCAGTCTGAATATAGCGCTATACTATGGATAACACTATCCTTTCGATAAAATAGAAAATAGTTAATACATGTAGGCCTACTCTGGACAGTTATCCTGAGTAAAACAGCCTTTTTAACCACTGGAAAGCAATATCAGTGACAAAAATAAGTATCTAGTGCTTAGTAAACATTACTTACCCACAGGATAATTGCCCAGCGGATAACGATTTTATCTAATGGATAGTAGTATCCAGAGGATGGGCCCAAGTGTTTATAGCTTATTTATATTCCTCTTACCTGCAATGGGACCTTTGACAAAGGAGTTGTTCCGTTTTTCGCCACGCCACCCTGTGTTATATCTGTTTTCGGGAAATCTTCCAGCATTATTGCAACGGCGTAAAACTTGTATCTCCCAACTTGGTAAGCATCGTGGGCAGAAGCTGGGATGACGAGTGTACAGTTCTAAAATAAAAGGAAACAAGTTTTCTACCAAACCGATGCAAGCGAACCGTCCTTTTTGCTGGGAAAAGGTCCCTTAATTCTTGGTAAAATTTTATCTTGGAACACGCTGGCTTCATATTAAAAGATCTACTTTTTTCCAGAAAAAGAACCCCTTTTTGAAATTTCTGGCTGTGGGCCTGTATAATAACGAGAACCCAGTCCAAGAGAGACGGAGCTTACGTACTGGAAACAAAGTTGAATTCGGTAGTGGTCCACAGATATTGGCACACTCATCGCCTACTGCCCAGCGGCATCTGACAGTATCTCCATCTGGATCAGTGTATGGGATGTCAAAGTGATAACCACATGATAACTCCATCCTAATAATAATAATAATAATAATAATAATAATAATAAACTGATTATCTCCATCTGGATCAGAGTATGGGATGTCGAACCGATAACCGCATGATAACTCCATCCTAATAATAATAATAATAATAATAATAATAAACTGATTATCTCCATCTGGATCAGAGTATGGGATGTCGAACCGATAACCACATGATAATTCCCCATCCTAATAATAATAATAATAATAATAATAAACTGATTATCTCCATCTGGATCAGAGTATGGGATGTCGAACCGATAACCACATGATAATTCCATCCTAATAATAATAATAATAATAAACTGATTATCCTAATATATTCAATATAGATTAGAAACCAACTTTGCGAGCAGTTGTAATAAATGCATGTTAAAGCATGTTTAAAAAATATAGGCCTACTGAGTTAATCTGATAAGCAATAACTTCCAAAGATTTACTATCATGAAATTTATCTAAGTGTCAATGGGATTGTGAGGTTTTCTTTTACATTTCGGACTGACTAATACCGAGATTTAATTGCTCTTCCCCTGTTGGGATGGGACATGAAGTGGGAAGCGGGAATCCATTGTCAATTGGGCGCCATATTTGATCCGTGCACTAGTAGTAAAAGCGGCCTAACAGAAACGGACCTATCGTTTGAAGTCTCATTCGGATTAAAAACTCCATAAAATTCCAATCAGAATGCTTTTAATTCCATTTAATTTTCCATTATATCTCGAATTTCCCAATGTTAACACTTAGGGAGCATTCACATCGAGAATAGCCGAGGTCTCGTAAGGCCTCGACCTAAATATGGCGGACCTACATGAAAAAAAGACCACTTATCCTGTTAATTCTCATCAATTCTCACAGTAATTAAATCTCAGCTCAATTCAACCGGTCGAGGGACAACGCGTGGGGGGGGGGGGCGTGTGAGAGGCGGAGAGACCATTAAAAGATTAGCAGTCTTCCTTTCATGTAGGTCCGCCATATTTAGGTCGCGGCCTCACTAGACCTCGGCTATTCTCGATGTGAATGCTCCCTTACATATCAATACTTACTGAACGATTGGGAGACTTGACGTTATGGGGCTTGCATTTGGCTTTCCCGTGTCGCTTCGATAACCGCCATTATATTCGGTTATAATTGCATATTTAGGTCTTACATTTCTTCCCGTATGTACATCTACAGCCAGCCGGCAACAGTCTTGATATCTGAGAAATGATTTTAAAATAAAGTAATTACTTAGTCTTTTCAATGGGGCAAAAACTGTGAAATTTTCGGATACTGTTTATTTGAGTCGTACGTTCTTATAATTAGAACATTTCTATTGAGTGGTGGTGTTAACAAATTTTAAAAGAATACTACTCTTTAGTTCTATTATATGCAGTTAAAGCACTACAGATGCTACATAGAAATAAAATTTTGGTGATTATGAAATTATGTACCTGAAAATTTGATTTTTATACCTATCGAAAAGATAGTGCACATCATGAGTAAAGTGAATACATGTACCTATTTCATTATAAACAAAAATGTCTAATTGGTATTTTTGATTATTTTATTATTGGCTATTCATTGAACAACTCATATGTGTCTATACTGTGTGTATACTGTCCCTCCTTTAAAAAGATGTGTTTGTGTTAAAAATGTTCGTCAGGATTCTTTTAGGTGTGGATAGAGGGGCGAAAGCAAATTACCGGTTTATACCCCTATTTCACACAGACCACGAATTCCACGAATCGCCAGGAATTGACAAATTTCAGGATTCATGGTTGAATCGTAATCAGTTCGTGAAGTTCTTAACAGATTCGTATATATTCGTAGTCAGTTCTTGCAATTCTTGATCAATCACAAACTGATTACGATTCAAACACGAATCCTGAAAGTTGTCAATTCCTGGCGATTCGTGAGATTCTTGGTCTGTATGAAATAGAGGCATAACGTGTAGACAGGGTTACAAATTATGCACGAAGCTGTATTTTGGGCATGATGAGGATGGGGGTGTCAGAAAGCAAAAATAGACTTACCTAAACTGAAACACACCAGGGTCTGGGAGAGTATTCACGAATACATTGTACCCTTGTTGCCAATTGTAAATTTTGTCTATGCCTGTGACGTAGTATCCTAGGTCTGTAATGTTTGTTACGGATCCATTTCCTAATGTTAAAAATGAAGGAAAAAATATGGGCAGATTCAGAACAAGTTGATCCGCGGACTAACAGAGCCGAGGATCAAATATGGCGCCACCCACTTGAAAGCATGCCCAGATTTAATTGCTCTGCCCCTGCTGGGATAGTGCGCTTGGGAGGCGGGAATGCATTGTCGAGTGCGCGCCATATTTAACTAAAATTCCTATAGAGTCCTGTAGGATCCCTATGGGAAGTCTTAAGCGGCATCCACAACAGCGGACTAACTAGTCCGCGGATCAAATGTGGCGACCCACATAAAAGCTTGACGAATAATTCCCTAATAGACACTGAATAGAATTTCCGGTGATTACGCAAAAAAACATTCAAAAGGATTGGCCGTATCTGATCCGCGGACGAGTTAGTCCACTGTTGTGAATGCAGCCATATATGGAATTTTCGTAAGGGTTAAGGGTTTACTGTGACGTTACTTATTCGAACTCTGCTTTAACATAAACTGCACTTAGTAATACGTCCATGCTTGCTTAATTGGGAGCATCAGTACTTTTACTAACCAGAAACGCGCTGCCATTTTCCTTTATATGGTGCAGTAAGATTGCCTATATCATCCTCTGTGCAGGGATATTTACATGGCCCAATCGTTAAGCGCCACCCAGTTCGCCAAGAGCACAGTACCTGGTAAAACGAAAGCAAAGACAATTCTGAATAAGGCTGGTCGAAAAATAATATTTATTCTCGATGTTTTTCAAACCGGTGTAACAAGAATGGAAGTCATAGGAATGGAAGTCCGGGCTCCCATATGATTAGTATAGGTTAGGGTTCATTGGAGTATTGGGGTTAGTATATGGGGCGAATGTCACCTGTACAAAGTAATTGGAAGCAGACTACTGTTCCTAGCGGACTTCCATTCCTGTTACACTGGCAATCTCAAAATACATATAAATTAACACACATACAAACATGTAATTTCAAGACAGTCCAAACGTTGTGCAGTATATTACATGTTCCCGGAGTGACGAAATATCGCAAAATCCAGCGAACTTCAAACCTCGCTTTTGTGCGCCCTATGGGCCGTAGTAGGAGAAGTAGCAATAGTTAGTAGTAGTAGCACGTCCATGTTTCTTCGTCATCCAGTCGTGACATATCACATAAGTCGAATATTTAAAGAAACATACCCTAAAATTGTATTTGCATTTGTATACGGTAGTTTGCATTTAAGTGCAATATGATCCAAGAAATTCAGAATTTCGCCTTATTTAGGCGATGTTATAGGCTGACTTTTGGCTGACACATGCAAAGAGACTATACTGATCCTAAGATCAATAACATGCATGTCTCTCATTTTCTTCTGGTGTCAGTTTTACCCGTTGAAGTGTCTGGAGCATCTAAGGGTGCATTCCCAGAGATTTAGATCGATCCAGGGATTAAGATTTAGATCGACCTAACAAGTTACCCCATTGACC